TATATATATATATATATTAAAACATTGCTAACTTACCGTGATACCATGAACTCCTTGCCAGAAATTACTGAAACCAATAAATCCCCAAAACATAAAAATACATGCAGCAGACATTAATCAACAGAACCTCAACTACTTGTTCTCAGATACTCATTTGTTTGGCATGCCATCGCCCTTTTGCGCAACCGTTCTCCTCGGGAGCACTTCTACCTCCTTGCTTAATAGTTTGCGCAACTCAGGTGTAATCGTCTTTGGCTGGGGCGGAGGCGCCGCTGGCTCAGCAGCTTTGCCCTTGTTGGATGCCTTACCGCCCTTGGATGGTCCTGATTCGGTCTGCTCAGAAGATTTTGAGGGTTCCTTCTGGTTGAACCGAGGAGCTGGGAAGTTCTGTTTCTTGTCGACAGCATCAACAAGACGCTGGAACCTCTTGAAGAGAGTTTCTGCCCGGATCAGGGTCGCCTCAAGATCGATTGTGTTTGAGAGTTCATTGACTATTTAACATTAGCATATTGATCAGTGCGCTTGATGACCAAAATCACTTACCATATTTGAGCACCTCATCAAAATGTTGCAAGTGCTCCATAATAACATCTCGGTGTCTCTCAAGAATCGCCAGGGCAATAAAGAGATGGAAGTTCGCACTCATATAATCAGTCCACAATCCCTCCCATAATCGAAGAACGTCAAGCCAAGCAAACTCCCGCTTATACCAAACAAGTATCATGCGGAAGAAGAAGAAAAAGTTGGTGCTGTCCGCCTTTTGCAGATGGTTCCAAAGTGCTGGGTCCATGAACTGAACCAGTTGGTCCAGAGTCAGAAGCTGGTTGCGCATGCCAGACTGATCACGCAGAAAGTTGCGTTCCATGCGCTCCATGAACTTCTGGAAACCCCAGAATGCAACGGCGTCGTCCTGAATCACAGCGTAGATTGGTGCCAACAGATCTGACATGCCCTGAACATAGCCTAGATCCTTATTGTACTCGTTGTAAGTCAGGAGCATCTCCTTCATCTGCTCAAGGTGGACGTTGGTGCCAACTTCGGCAAAAGGTGAGCTTGGGTCAGGGTGGGGGATATCCTCGCCCATGAAAATGGGCACATTGCGATCTGTTCGGTGGACATCCTTTTCTGTAGACAAACTGTTAGTATACCCCTCGGGAGACAAGGGCTGAGAGATGGAGAGCGACTTACCGATTCGTCCCTTTTGCTCGCGCCACCACTCTCCAGTGTCGCCCTCACCTCCATCACCTTCGAGTCTCTCCCACCACGAAAGCTTGAGCTTGTAGTACTGGTCACGTAGTGAGGCAATTTGCGCCTTTCTCTCATCAGCAGTGCTGTACCACTCATAGACGCCAAGAAGGAAAAGCCATGCTTCCTTTCGAACACCGTCCTCAGGGTCAAGACCTCCGTGAAAGACACGCTCCTTGACCTCATCGATAGTGATCGATAACCGGCCAGTTTGAGGGTCGAAGAACGTATTCCACTCCTTCATTGTCACAGTCTTTCGGCGTTCCTCAAGTGAAAGGTTGCTGGCTCCTTCGAGAAGTTCAAACTCGCCAACATCAGTATCCTCAAGCTCCATGACATCATTAGCAGACCATATCCTCTGTCTCCGATCGCGGTCGCTCTGCTCCTGGATGCCCATAGCCCAGCGAGCGAGATAGATTCTGGCGCTGTCAAACTCGTCTTGAAGAGTCTGAACTTCAGGATTTCTCAAGAGCCGCCTTACTTGTGGCGGTAAGTTGGGATTCTCGACAATATCTTGAGCCGCTCTCCGCGTGAAGGTGGTTACTTTGCTGAATTTCTCCATAATATTCCATCCAGTTTCTTTGATCAACTTGACGAAAGGATCCATCTCTGCATCTCGATTTGACGGTCCTGCAGCGCCGCGCTGTGCTCCCACATTGCTATCCTGACGACCAATTTGCGATGGGCTGGAAGTGAGTTTGTGACCGAATGCTTCGCTGTCCTCCTTTGATGGCTCGATCAAGTAAATGTTAGGTTCAGCACCAGATCGCTCAATCTTGACGTAACGACGTAGCCACTTCACAACCTCATCGCCACCCCAGAACATCTGTCCAGATTCTCCAAAAGGATCAAATGTATCACGCGCAATCTTCTTCTTTTGAAGGATCGTGCTTTGGCACTCATTGTCATGGAAGAAAAGGGCAGGAAAGCTGTCGCCCGCACGGGAGTTGATGATGACGGATCCATACCACCAGCCAAGGCTCGGAGGCCGAACAAGGAGCGAATAGACGGCGCTCACGGGAATCGCAAACGCATATCCACCGACAGATCCAACATGGCTAGTGACAGTCGGCGGGGGAGGAACAAGGTAAGACTGTTTCGGGGGCGAGTCTCCATCGCAAAGGTCAACCTTGACGTAGATGCTGGCGGAATCTCCAAGGGCAGATTCGGGAATCCATGCGAGAAGTAGATCCGAGGAGGCGATCGACGCTGATTCATTGGAAGCGGATGAAGTAGGGCGCTCTTCGTGATGACCTCGCTGCTGGAGGAGTGCGATATATCCTGGGATGTTGTCCTTTGAGGAGGGTGTTGGGTGAACATAAACCTGCGATTGTCAGATGTCGTTCGTCACTCTGTAGCGCAACCTCTTGCGCAGGACATGAACTTGGCTCGGATATTACTTACCTTGCTCTTGGAAAAGAGAAGCTTCACACCTCTTCCAGTCTCGACATTTCTAATAGTGTTGTACTCGCCCTCCTCATCATCGCTCAGCGCATAGAGACTGTTTGAGGGTGACGCAGATCGTCGCGAGGGCTGCTGTGGCGGGGCATCAGCTGCCCCAGAATCGTGCTGCGGCATGGGAAGAAAGTAGTAGGTAGAGCTGTTGCTCTCAGCAGCTCTCGTCTTGAATAGCCTTTGTCCTCGGGCTTGGTTTGTTATTTGGAGTCACAGCCAGATTTCGAGTATAAAGTAACGGTATATAAATGGTTGTGATAAAAAAAGAAAGATGAAGAATAAGGTAGTGAGTGGCATGTGAGTGAGTAGACGCAAGCAAGCGAAAGGCAGCTGTCTGTCTCTTGCCCAAACGGATCACAGATGACGACGTGCCCCGCCACAGAAGCTCCCCGCCCCATCTTAGCAGAGGTACCTGAACTCGTGGCTGTATCTGCTGTCAGATAGCGCAGTTTTGGCAGAGACACATGTACCCGTGCTCATAAGGCTTACCAGAAAAGTATCATGACAGCAGTTTATTGGTGGGACATGAAGTTTAGCTTGCGTCGTCACGAGCATGAGGTATGCAATGGCTTTGAATTACTTTAGTGACTGCGTACTGCAAATACGTAAATCAGCCTTAACCACGTAAATTACTGCTAGGTTATACATACGATTTTACAAGAGGCCACCGATTTGAAAATAACTGACTTTAAGGAAGCCCAACCCGTAGCAAGTCTCGTTATCATGATCCTTGCTGAGGATCATGGATGGCACTAGGTATAAGTTTAGAACACACTCTACATACAAGTTGTTTGTTTCTCACATAGTCACCACAAGCTGAGGATAACGTCGAGTTCAGTCGAAATTCATCTAAGTGGCCCTAGGAAATATAACCTTGATTGTATTTCGTCAACGCTCATATGCATCCAACTCGGGGCATAATAGTACATTTGAATGTGTCAGCAGCGAGTCTCACTTGATATACAGAGTATAATATTCGTTTTGATAGTATTACTGGTCTCAGCTTATTTACCATATCGCATGGCGTGGTATACTCAACCCCTTTCTTTGCACGTCTAATAAGACTCCCCCCACTACTCAGAACATCAATGGTCCGACTCCTTCAAATTAACAACATGCCACCGTCGCCAAACCTAACACTACGTCCACAGAATTCATTCCTGTCCAGACATGGAACACCTTGTGAATGCTTTGAAAAGGCTGAAACGACTTATGCAAATAAGACAAAGGCTCCCCTCTTGAAAAACACAAATGTATTAACGGAGTCGGGTATTTAGGAAGAAAATTCGTGGGGCTCGTTCGCGAAAGCTCTTTTACACGCCTTAGACGTCTTCACCCAGGAGACCAGTCTGGAACTGAGGCTCGACAGCTGTTTCAGGGTCGGTCCAGTTCACTGGCTTGTGAAGTCGAAGCATGGAGAGGAAGTAGTCCTCAAGGATGCAAAAGTTGAGGAGGAAGTCGTTGCAGTTCCAGGCAATAGCACAAACCATAGCACCGGCTACGGCATCGAGGATGAAGTGGTTGGCTGTGGCGACAATGGCAGTGAGAATCAAGGCTGGGTATGACATGCCCGCGGCAATGATCATTATTCGCTTCCAGGAGGTAGATCGTAGGCCGGTAATAGGGATAGTGGCGACGGTAAGGCCGACAAGGAGAGAGTAACCGAAATGCAGAGATGGCATGGCCGCTACAATCCTAGTTAGCCCTGTATGGTATCAAAGTTCTTGTGGCTTTCACTTACCATATTGGTTGCAGAATCGGTTGGTGGTCCAGACACTGCTCTCTCCAGTACCGCTGTGAACACTGTCGACAAATCCAAAGCTCTTGGCCTCCTCAGCATCAGGGCCGTTATACTCAGGATCGCTCAAAAGACGGGGAGGCATGCAAGGCCAGCTGGTGAAGACAACGAAAGCAAGGAGATTGCACATGGCCATGGTTCGTCGACGGGCTTCGTATAGAGCAGGACCAGCAGCCACCGTATCAGATCTCACACGGCCAGCGGCATAACGGCGATGTCGGGTGGTGGTGAAGTAGTAAAGGACAACAAGGAAGGTAATGGTGCCAGGAATATGGATGAATGAGTAGATACGATTGATCCAGTGGAGAAGAGTAGGTCGAGCGAGGAACCATTTCTGAAAGTCTATCTCCCAGAAGATGTGGAGTCGTTGTTCGAGATGGATAATTTGGAGAGCATGTCTACGGGCGACATCGACAGTGCCTTCATCGAGAGTCAACGCAGTGATAGCACGACCGACCTGGTACACAAAGTAGATGAGAAACCAGTACCAACACTCGACCAAGAATGGCAACTTCTTGAGAAGACGGCTCAGGAGTCGATCCTCAAATATGTGAGTGTTTGGTGTAGAAACGATGCGCTTATAGCCAAGCACTTGAAACTTGCGACGGCGTAGAGTCGGTTGAGAACTTGAGTCGAGACTCGGTGATCGTGAACCGCTCCATCCGCTCATAAGACTATCGGTCGAGTCTCGCTTCGGGAAGTCATCAGAGCGTTTATAACTCTTGATGCTGGCGATCCCTGACTTGTTTGTCCAGAAATTGTAGTCCTTGCTTCTATTGAAGTAGGCGCCCCCAAAGAGGAGAGTCACGACGATGAGTGGCTCAAGAAAAGAACCGACTCCCATGACGAGCAAGGCTTCAACGGCCGATAACTAAGTTGAGTTTAGGGTGGCAATGAAATATAAGGCTTGTTGCTGGTGATGAGGTCGTAGATGTAACTGGAAGGCAGGCTGGGAAAGGTGTAAGTCAGGATATCCGTATAGCGATGCCAACTGCCAAGTCAATGCAAACAAGAAGAAAGAAATGCAAAAGGGTATAATGTATACGATTCGATGCAATGCGACTCGTCTGAATAATAGAGAGAAGAGGGAACACAACAAAGTCAGTTTGTAGCTGGGGGAGAGACGGGTTTTGATGCAACAGAGAGAGAGAGGGTGGACGGAACGGAACGCTCGGGGAGTGCATATCTGATATTGACTGCTACAGAGGTACAAGACAAGACTCAGCTAGTCTAAGCTCATCTCAGAACAACGACTCATCTGGGCAGTTTCTGATCTGTGATCGATGATAGGTAATTCATGGGTTATTGGGCCTGTATTTTCGCTGCCTGTACCCGGAGTTAATGACAGTCTGAGGGCACACGACATGTCTAAGTCGGCCGGGAGCACTAAGACAAGCCACAAGCAGGGAATACCCTGGGCCCAAGCTTGCAACCCCCGCCCTGTTGCCGGATGCCGGCTTGTAGGGGGAGCTAGAGGTCCCAGTGGGCCAATTACAGGGCTCCAGGTGCACGCAGAAAGAAAAAGAAAAAGAGCCCGAGGCGAGCTAGACAAGGGTCTTGTTCAGAATGGATCGTCCGCTACCTGACATGCCATGAGCATGATTAATGGACCAGTCATAGAAAAGGTGACATGTTGGCCGTGGACAAAATAACTATTGGACCTACAAATGCAAGCAGACAGACTGATGAGGCCGTCCATGAGCTTATCTCACCTCGAGGTGAACATGGCATCATTCTCGTGAGAGAGGATACTTAATCTCGACTCTTGTCTTGACTCTTGTCAAACAGGGACAGACTCGACTGACGCATATGGACCTGATGATGGTGTTGTTTGCCCGTGCCCATCAACCACCATCATTCGACAAATGCCCGTAGAAACTCCTTTACTCAAAGCCCCTGACTCGAACTCTATTCCGCGGCAACCGATCATGGTCTGGGGTCAAGCAAAAGTCCGATCCCAAGGACAACAGCAAATTATATCATCCACGGAAGCACGGTAGCGTTTTAACCCCGTCCGTCTTCAAGTGATGAAAACTTCCGCCTCGTGCTTCCGACCTCCGACTTTTAACCTCCGGACCTTCCGGATGTCACAGACAATATGATATTGGCTATCAGCAACAACACACCGACTAAAGGATTTAAAGCTTATTTATTTTGAGTTTACGCATAATCGATCATACATAATCTCCAAGATCATCTTATCATGAGTTCATCAATCTGTCTCAACTCTCATGGTTATGTACATATAGCTTGGCCTCTTGTATGCCAAGATGTCTTAAAACTGTTGCCCAGACCTAATATCGGTGACTTCTTTACACGGCAAGTTGCCTACGTAGCATCCTATCCTTACGCGTAAGGCCTCGGACACTTCCTTATTCGATTCTGCCCATCAAAGCTTTCTCAACCATGCTGCATGCTTATCCCGTTACCAAGTTCATAGTCAGCCAAAAGGCACCATATCTATGGCTACAGCACATGCATTGAAACCATGCACGTCTAATCGATGCCGACATTTTACGTCATAGTCCTAGCAAAATCAACTAAGATTCCGCGAGCGCTAAGTTAGTCGATGCTAAAATTCTTATAAGGCATGTCACTATTGCCGATTCCCGTCTTGGGTAGCGTCGATACTGCCACAAAACCCGGATATATCAGAAGTCAGGGATGTAATGCAGTGACTCTGCCACTTGAGAAATGCCTGATACTACGAACGAGTTCCCTCATGTTTCGGATATGGACAATACTTCACATCTGTGGACTCCCATATCAGCAAAACATGCAATAGTTAATCTCAAAAACCACCAATTCAAGCCAATAATGCTTTTTGGTGGAACCAGAGTGACAAGTCTTATGACCCAACGGCATTTAGAGGGTGACAAAAAAGCCTAAACACATGCGCTCGGCCATCACCAAAAACCCGAGCCTCACATCATCAAAGAGAGTCCTCCGAGACATCCGGTTACATATGTACTAGGTAGCTACTTGTATCCGTAGTCACGTATTATTTTCTGCCTCTTGGCGTACGCTTATTAATCGAATACTATTTCCATCTTAGCCATAGTGAAGTAGAAACTAAGGAAACTGATGTGCATGCCATGTGCTTGAACATTAAGTGTTGATCTGGATGTACGGATGGCATGATCTTCCAGCATTGTGCAGCATGATTTGTATGGCTTAGCACCACTGCCAATAGTACGTGCAGTCCATTGATGAAGAGAGTTCACGACTAGGTACTCGCTCAAACGGATGTAATATACATACGTATAGCCCCCCGTCTTCTATTAATCTATTCCACCCTAGACAGGTTGCACCCAGCGCTTAATCC